TCCAAGTGTAATAGCAGCAGTGGCAATAAGTCTCTATTAAAAAATAATCAGTACTGTGCTTCTTGTAGCCTTAACTTTTCTATTGAAAAACATTTCGGCAGAAAATCACGACAACGCAAATACACACATACTGTGTAACAGAGGTGTATACAGTATGCTCCACTAGTTGCATTGCTGCACTCAGAAGACAGTGTTATTATGTTGTTTATGAACCACCTTCCCCCATTAATTTCCAATGTTCCATGAGTAAAATCTTCTAGCATTAGAATTTAAAGTAAAATAAAATATGGTGCATGAAGGTATTTTGTGCTTCAGTGATGGATCCAGCAAAGTTGTTTTTTTTGGGGTGCTAACCAATGGCGAAACGAGCGCCGAAGGCGCGATATTTCTAGGGTGGTCCGGGGGCATACTCCCCCGGAATATTTTTAAAATTTGGGGGTCTCTGAAATGGCATTTCCAGCATTCTGAGAAAACATTCTGGAAAAGCTTTAGATTCTCAAAACATTTAAAAATTCGGAACATTTAATATTGGCTATTCCGCTATTGTCAACTAGTGATACGCAACAATTCCTTAACATAAGTTGGTTAGAATTAGGATAAACATCATTTTTACACCCCCCATCCCCATGCACCCCTGTTGACCAGAACCTGGGGGGGGTGCAAACACCCCCCCTAAATCCACCACTGTTGTGCTTTACTGGGTAAATATATGCAACTCTGTCTTATGCTGTTAATCTTACTCTCATGGACAGTGTTGTTGGCATCAGTTGGTCAATTTCACTTGCCTCTAGCTGGTTTTGATATGAACTGTATGGTGAACAGCCCACACTCTGAATACTGAGAATATTGCCTTGTGGCGAGGAAACCAGTAAACTAACACACAACAAACACTGGGTTTAAAAATATTTAAATATATAACTAGGTACACACACAACCACATGTTTTAAATCAATAGAGACTGTGTGTAAACTGTAAATTAATTTAATGAAGCTATCTTAGTTGGAAATTGTTTGTTAAATAAACCAATACCAAACTGTACAATGATAAACATAACATAATTTAATCATATGTCTTCTATCTGTCCCCTTTTGCCTGACTTTCAACTAATATTAATACAGTACCTTTAAGAAAGGCTGCACAGTAGTATTGATTAATATTTAATTTTTCCTATGTTATTATATAAATGCACATCTTGTCAAATATATCCATACACTTATCAATGGTAATCGTAATCCTCAGGGTGGTACGCTGGCTATCCAAAACATGATACAAGGATAATTAGCATTACAAATATATAATTTAATTAAATCTATTTTCCAAACTATCCCACTTTTGTGAGCAAATTTCATAATTATAACTTGTATACACCAGTTACAGTATATACAGTATTTATACCGTCCATCATTTTATCATTGATTCTAAGATTAAAATCTGTCAGGAGAATGTCATATGACATATACAGCTTATATAAATTATATTTGCACAGACAAAGCATATAAACACTCAACTATGGTAGACGAGTAATCCCAGGTTATCATCTTTGTTTGCAAAATATCCAGCTAGTGTACAGTAATTGCCCAATAATTCAGGCAATGCAAAGTAAGACCCCTGTCACAAGGCATGCCAGCTCATTTCCTTATAAAATGAAAATGAAATGAAATAGGAGATACCACTGGAAGTTGCAACTTGAAACAATTACCTTTCATGTAAACTCCTCCTTAGTCCTCTACTGTAACCAATGTTGCGTTACTATTAGAAATCTCATTAACCTGCAATTATGCTCTGTAATTACATACGGAGACTGATGCATGTCTTGATCCATTCAGAGTTACTTTCCACCCACATTATAGTTTTATTTTTGGTATCCAATCAAAATGTGCCAGAAGAAATGTCAATTTCACATAATACTGACAAGCTAAATATAGTTACAATCACTAAATATATCATAATAACAATTTTAATTATAGCATTAACCAATTATCAAAACAATACATTAAATATGGCATGAATACTCTGATGCTAGAAATAGCCAATCGGAGTTACAACCATGAACCATAAAGGCAGTTGTAGGACTGTAGGACACAAACATTTAATAACATGTGTATCAGGGCTTCATTTTTCTTTGCCCGCCAGCTGTAAGAAAAATGAAGGTCTGGGCACGGGATATAATCCCATGTAAACAGAGATGAAATTTGCCTCAGTAAAGCAAGCTGTGAAGTTTTGTATTGGGGCTGGTTTGCCTCCAGACCAGCAAACCTCTGTAAAATGTAAAACTCCCCCCCCCGCCCGCCAACCACTAACATCTTTCTGGTCTTTCTAGAATATAGAGCAACAACAGTAATAGACACAAACTGTAATTATTTTGTTATTACATACAAATCTATATTAATTGTGGACCCAATTTTCCACTTTAATTACACACTTCTTGAACTGAACAATTTAGTAATTTACTACCATTTGTAAAAATATAGAGAAATTTAACTTACTTAATTTATAGAGCCCTCGGTTCGAATGTTCGATCGAGTTCACATCGTGGGCATAAGATCCCTTCCATTTTTCCACTTGGTAGTAATTGGTTCGACTGTAAATTATTTTTAATCCGTCAATTTTGAGGGATTTCTCTTCATCCAAATATCCTTGCCGCCATGACTTGAATCGGTTGCCTCGTGTAATACGTCACAGTAGATTTGATTTTGCAATTTGCATCAGTGCACCGATGCGAGCGCCCGCAATCTGCATGCGATGCATCGCTCAGCGGCCAAATCTAACGTGACGTAGGGCTCTAAAACAATAGATTTGATGATGTCACGTTAGATTTCACGCGGAAAAGGACTCGGGATCGATGCATTCACTGATGCAAAATGGATGCCAATGATGCCAAATCGAATCAAACGTGACGTAGGTGATGCATTTTGCTTCAACTGTGACGTCAAAGGATGCGGTAAAAAAATAACATATTTTGTCGTGAAAATATTGACGCTTAAGTGTCGCAAAATAACAGAAAGAACACATTTGCGATCGCACGTCGCATATTGGACTTATTTTGACAATTTCGACTGTTATTGAGACTATTTAAATTGGATTTCATCCTAAATAGTGTATTCCTGACATGGAATCAATTTTAAGCAAAGATTTGCGGGTTGATAGGAGATATTTTATTACTGAGTGCTTTGAGTATTGGCGACATTATATATCTATATATTTCAAGCTACATGAATCATGATTTCTCAATTTTGACCGATGCATTGGCATCGCTGGCATCGGTCTGGATCCGCCCCTGGTAAGACCCATACTGGGTTGTACATTCAAATGTAACACCGGGTCTTACATTTTAATTCAAAGCCTGGCATATGTCTTGAATTCTGGACTTGAATTTGCAACAAAACTCAAACCCCACATCTCCTTTTCGACTAGAAAACGCTGCACGTCTCTGAGTTGAGAAAGAGACAACAGCCGTGTACCTCAGAGCCCGTCAAACTCTACCTTTGGGTAGAGTATTTATCATTCGGTGCACGGGAACTAGCTGAACCAACAATCAAACTTGCATGTGCAATGAATTTATACAGTAATATCTACTCTTTCGCTTGTGGGACGCGAAATGATATACTACGCATGCTCAACCACATTAAAGCGTGTTTAATGCGCATGTTCAACCTTATTTTCTTCCCACAACCACAACCTCCCGAGGACAATAGAAAATGGGTGTGATAGGTATATAAACAACATAAAAACCTCATGGTCGGTCTTTCATTGAAATTCAAGACCTCGGCGCTGCGCGCCTCGGTCTTGAATTTCAATGAAAGACCTCCCATTCGGTTTTTATCATATATATAAAACCCTGTTGAGAACAACTTGAGAATCTATGCTTCAGCAAACCCTTACAAATCTTCGTCAGCGCTTCTCGGTTGTATGAGCTATGTCAATCTTATTTCGGCACACTCTTTCCAAACACGAACTGCACAGATGATGTTGTCCCTTGTGCCTACGCTATGCGTTCAATGCCACTTTTCTACAAGGTCTAGCTGCACTGCCTATAAAACTGTTATGACTCTCCTTCGTTTTCTCTTTGTCGCCTTTGGGCACTTCAAATCTCGATCGTTCGTCGTTTGGCTGCTGTAACTGTCGTTCCCCAAACCGAATATCGTACAGTAGGTATACATTTTCATCTGATTGGGGTTGCCTGAAAACATTCTGCGTTATGCCCTTTTTCCACTCCGTTATTTCGCGGCCGCTGGCGAAAAATTTTGACAAAGAAATCATTTTTTACATTCATTCGCCGCTGAAGAAATTTGTTCTCCTGCTACAGTTGCTTAAAATTTTCAACTTCTGTTTGACCTTCCGTTGACGGGGCGAAAGAAAAACAAATGAACTTTTCGGCGGCGAAATATGTCTGTGGAAAACGGGCTTTATGAAAGATTATTCGTCGCTACACTGGTCATTAATGGTTTGTTTAAACGCATTCACGGCCAGATGCATGTGGTATGATAAAATCAATACCACATTTTAATAAAATGAATGACTCTATTGTCTTTGTATAATTGTATACAAACATATTTTATCGTAATTGTTGTTGGTGAACGAATATTTAATCACTTAATTCTCATTGACAGTATACAGTAATGCGACACGAAAATTGATGCATATCAAATGCGAAAGCCCTGTGCCTGTGGCTGTTTGTTTTTATTACAACATGGTAATTCAAACTCATTTAAAGATCAATACATATCATAAGGTAAATTCATTATGGTTCAATCCTTGCAAATATGAACTAATAATGGAGTTAGGAGCCTGTAACTTTAAATTAGCTATATCTTTTATCACTAAAACAGAAAACAAAAACTGCAAAACCAAATAACAAACTCTCCTGTTTTAATTTTACACATCTTTAACTTTCAGAATATAAATTCTAACCCAAATAAATAAACGCTACACAGAAAAATACACACATAAAAATAGAAAACACACAAATTTTAAATTCATAATCTTACGTCACATGTCAATCACGACCAGTTAAACGCACAACCGCTACAATTATTAATTTCGATTTTCACAATCTTTGCACTTGCTTCTCTACATTTCTCCCCGCCAGCATTCTCCATGACCGATTCAACAATGTCACACTTTCTCTTCACTCCATTTCTAGTCATATCGACGAACGAAGGACCTCCACATTCAAACGAATTTGAAACGGCCTGCTTGGCCGACACACCTGGTCTTTGATACGTTAACAACGACCTACGATCTCTATGTCCAGTGCGAGCCATCATTAACTTTTCTGGAACACCTTTTTCCAAGCCGTGAGTGACAGTAGTCGCTCTTAAACTATGATTAGTGAAGTTTCCGTCAATTCCAGGTTTTTTACACAGATTTCGAACCGTCTGTTCAAGTACGTTATGCCCCACAGGATTTGATGTAAAGCATTCTTAAATATAACATAAGTCTATAGAATAAATTAACAAAGTTTTATGCAAAGTAAAATGAACACTAACCTCATTAAAAACTTCTCATTCACTCATAAAATCAGAAGTAAACCTATACCTGGATCGTCTTCCTCATATTTTTGACGTGTACTTACGTAGAATGTATCTATCTCGATGGCTTCGTTAGGACATTTTGCCAAGTACTTTTTATACAACATCAAAGGCATCGTTCAGGTCGATCCCGATTTGCATATTGCTCGACACGCTTTGCCTTTACTGCACGACGTTTCAGGCCAAGATTATTTTTTTCGCCAAATGAACACTAGATGAACTTCTCCTCTTCATTTCTTTTAGCCCCGACCAAACTTAGCTGGCTAAACCGTAAACGTTGATGCTCTTGCCCACTTCGAAGCGAAAAGTTCTCCCCAATAAGGAACACTAAGGTGTCAAATAATACTCGTGCATTATGGCTACCGAGTGCTTTTGAGCTCCACACTTTTCCTCTTCGTCTTCTGAGAACGGTTGAGCTTGTTTAACATCCGAGCCCAAGACGAGACTTGTGAGCCTTTTAATCTCTTGAAAGCCCTTGAAAGATGCATCTTCAAAAATGTTTACCGCAGGCTTTCCATTCTCTCTCAAATGTCTCTATATTCCGCAAGCGAGCTGATATAACGTATTAGGAGGATATGGCATTCCTGGATTCTTTTTTTGTATAACTTCAACGATGAACTTGCTAAGCCAATAACATAATTCCTCTTCCTCTTGCTCAAGCATATCCGCATTTACAACTCTGTAGCGTTCGTTAATACACAGTGAGGAACGTATCGCACCTCTTTCCTTGGCACACTGAGTCCAAGTTCGTAGACATCACGCTGTGTTGGACTTCGTCTTTTCTGGTATTCTGTCCTCTTGTCTCCCTTTCAATTCCTCGTCAATGACAAGAGCGATTTTACGAATGATTGGCAAAGCTGCATTCTCTTGAATTCAAGAGCTTATCTCCTTCTTTTCGTCTTGTGGCGTATACGAAACATTGCCGATCCATTAAAAAAAACTTGGGTCAAAATCACTCTCATTCGCTGCATTTAACCTAAATGAGTTTTGTGTAATGTAAAACGACTAATCGTCGCTATCTTCTCAAGCTAAGTCAATAGTTTTAAGCAACTTTCCGCTAAGCTTTCCGCTCATGTATTCAAACATCCTAAATTGAAACCCAACATGATAAGAGAACTGATGCATATCAAATGCGAAAGCCCTGTTTGTTTTTATTACAACCATTGTAATTCAAACTCGTTTGAGGAAGAATACATATCATAAAGTAAATTTCATTGTGTGTCAATCCGCACAAATATGAACTAACGGGATTAAATACTTTAAGTGGTTAGAATGTATTTACTTTCAATTTTGTATTTGCCTATATGTAACTGTAGTTATAAAGGATAGATTTTCAGTTCTAAACTGTTGTCTCTACATACCTATAAGAGAGAGTATTCCTCAATGATGCGGTACTGTATCTCTATAGTTCGAAATCTAAACTAAACCAATTTTATTTCATCTGCCAAACGTGCTGATTTGTTTTTTTTTATAATTGCCAATCCGTCGTCTCTATATAGGCCAATGTTTTCCTTGCCAAACTTTTCCCCTAGAAGTTTTGGAGTGAAAAAACATACAAGTTCCCAAATTTGGGCTCCGTCGTAGCTACCCATGGTAACGTCAAATAGACTATTGATGAACTTTAGACTTCGCCCGCTAACTCACAGACTCGCAACTCGCAAAATAGCCGACCCCTTTAGACCTAACCAGGGGCTGGCAGGGGCGGATTTAGACCGTTGCAACTGTAGCATATGCTACGGTCAGATTTTCCATAGGCCAGTTCTAACATTGATCATAAAATCAATCTAAAATATAATTTAGCAATATTTTGTTTACTTTCCGTGTTTATATTTCAAGGTTTTATTTTATTTAGTTTTATATGTTTAACTTAAAAAATTTTATTTTGACAAATTGATGACATTGATACGCAACGTTAATTGTTTTAAGAATTCCCGCCCGAAAATACGCTTGTAATTGCCCGTTTGCGGGTCATTACGCAATGGACTATAGCTTAGAAAATATCATCCTTCACAAATACACCGTAGCGTGTTGCCCATATATGATCAATTTTCGCTACGGTCAGATTCATTAAGGTCGAATCTGACCGTAGCGAAAATTGGCATATACGGCATTCTGATTGGTTTGCTACGGTCAAACGTAGCAAACCAATCAGAATGGGGCAAATGCTATAGTTTGCTACGGTGGCATGAAATTGGCTACTGCTCCAGAACGATGGAATATCTGATATTTGTGTTTGGCTCATCAACAATTGCAACATGCTATTGGGAACCCACAGTACGGTTGTCCGCATTTCGAAATGAAAGCCGTCGTAAAGCTAATGAATATATATCGTCGAGGTAGAAATAAAATCAGATAGTAAAACGAATCATTTCCAGTCAGGTAAGCCTTATAAAAAATAAGAGATGCACATTAACATTTTAATTTGAGTTTTTACTGCATAGTGTTCGCTATTAACTTCGCTTTATTAAAGTGTTTGTGCGCGTATGTACAGTATACCTGCATGTATTGGATTAATACGCGAATTATGATACGCGCGTATATATATCGTGTTTTATAGCGCCCTAATATTTGTTTGTATAAATGCGTATATATTCGTAAGATACGCGTATTCGCATGATACGCGCGTTCATATGATACGCGTATTCGTATGATACACGCGTTCGTAGATGATGCGCGTATTTCGGTATTCAATTGATAATGATATGCGTATGATACGAGTATCATACCGGTATCGTATGTTAAGATATACGGGAGCGATACTTTACATTTTGAGATCTTTCCGGCTTATTTTTGCTTGAGAAATGAATACAATGAGGACAATTTTAATGGTCACATGCAGTGCTCAGAACGCAGGAAATGGCATTTCCGGGCTTCAAATTTCAAAAATTTTCCGGGGGGGGGGGGCATGCCCCCGGACCCCCTAGCTATGTGAGGTCTTTCAAAATGCTACGGTCATATTTTTGGCTGGATCCGCCCCTGGCTGGAGACAGTCCTAGTTCCTTTCAATCATTAGAGGATGCAGCGTGACATAACCACGCAACTTGGCTACAGAGTCCAGTTGCCGAGCAGTAACGACAAATTCAGGTATAATATCAGTGCAGCGGATGATATTAGTAGAAAGTATATGGGTAAATATACTGGCAGATTTTGGCCCCTCCTCGGATCCCAACCGAACGTACGAGTTCAAACGAACGAGATGCTAAAAATGTTTATATTTACTCCTGTACCATCCACTGTAATCACGTCATTTTATTCACATGTATGAATCTGTCGTTAATCCTCAGCAACTGGACACTGTAGCTAAGTTGCATGGTAAGAGTGCGGCACTGGAATCGCAGAACCGCAGGTTCGTAGAATATCAGAGCAATAATGATGGGCAATGAATTGTTAAACCATTACCAATATAATTATTTAATCACTTAACAACAACCTGTCGTTTGCACCAACTGAATGGTAAGTATGGTATAAACAGTTCCAGATATTATGCACTCTCCAGGGCATCGTGTAGGTCTTAGGTAAGCACGTCGAACATCATGCGTGCAACTCCGATCCGCATGGATGATTTTAGTCTGTGAAAGCCTGGAATCCGATTGAATTGTTGATGCAAATCAATACTCCTCCGCGTGAACCCCTGAATGAGGTACGATTCTGGGATAACAAATTATATCCAGGAAGATGTAGATGCATGCTGATGAATTTGTTACAAATCGTGATACTAATGTGCATGGTTTGTTACTTAAACTTAGACTAGAACTAAACGATAATAAGACCACATACTCGTTTGGGGTAGCCTACGGCCCTAAGAATATTTTCGGCAGATATTGCTTGCAGCTATCCCAACTTGGCACTGATACATTGATAACAGTAATAATATTAAGGTAGTTCCAAAGTGTTTTGCTAGTGTCTCAATCTGACTGATTGATGCATCGATGACAGTAATTCCACCTTGTCACCCGCATAGCGGGCTCCAATGAGATAGCATTGCGCCTGTGCAGATCAGTGCGTTGTTGTTCCTTGAGCGAGACGGTCGGTATATTTGTTGAGCGAAGAAAAAATTTTTAAATATGCTGAAATATTAAATAATGACAAGTAAAACCTCTAACGAGGTGCAGGTGGATGTCCACCGTGAATCTAGCGAGACGGCCAGTTCAAGCGGCAGGAGGCGTGAACCACATAGTCTGCTTGAACAAACGACAACAGCCGATTCACGCTCTAATCAGCAAACACAACTACAGCAAAATCAGCAAACACAACTACAGCAAACCTTGGAGCAAGGGTTTGGTAAAATGGCAACTAGTCTATCTACGGCGATAGAAAATGCATTTAAAAATTTCTCTGACAAGTTCGATGTAGGTCCTATTGAGGACGAACTTCTCACAGAACTAGAAGAAGGAGAACTTGAAAGAAATGGCAATGCTAATGGCAGTGATGGCGAAAATGGCCGCCAAAACGACAGACACAGTCAGGAAGAGCCTGACGTCTCAGACGGCACTAATGTGCAACGCATGATTGAACGAGCTAAGACTCAAAATGCTACTGAACAGGCTAAAGAGCCTAGTGTGCTTGATGGCATACGTGGAGAAATGAAAACGGCTGAAACGGGCCCCAAGTTTAACGATGACCTTGCTGAAATAGTGAACGGACTTGTGCAGAAAGGTTTATCAGAAGAAAAACTCCAAGATAAACTAAACAAATATCCAAGCCCAGAAAACTGCGAGGCATTGTCCAAAATGAGGGTAAATCAGCTTATTTGGGATAATTTACAACCAAATAGTAGGTCACAAGACCTTCGATTTCAAAAAGTACAAACGGCTTTGATCAAAGGCATGGCGGCAATTGTTCGCGCCACTGACACAGCGCTGGCACATATAACCACATTGCCCGCGGGGAAGGAGATTGTTGAAAGCATGACTGATGCTATTGCTTTGTGTGCTCATGCGAATTCTGAGCTTAATATTCGTCGAAAGGAGTTGATAAAACCTGACCTTCACGAAGATTACAAGCATTTGTGCTCGGCCTCAGTGCCTTCGTCTTCCCAGTTGTTTGGGGATGATCTCTCCAAGCAGGTCAAGGACCTTACAGAGGTCAACAAAGTCGGTCGGAAAATGACCAGGCATAAGAACAAACCTTATGCCAGAGCCCCGGCTTACAGTTATCGGGGACGAAATCGTAACATACGACCTAAGCCTTTTTTAGGCGAAAGACAGGTAGCGAGTGCGTCGCTACACTTCCACAACAAGAGGTATCAACGAGGCAAGTTCAAAAAATTTGCAAACTGAGTTCATCTACTGCCAAAAAGGTAAGTCGAACATTTTCTCACAGTATAAAAATAGGGGGTAGACTGAAACAATTTATTCACTTTTGGGAAAAATTGACATCTGATAAATTCATACTTGAAACAATAGCAGGCTATAAAATTGAATTCAAGCCTGAGGCGATCTGTGACCATAATTGGTCTCGCAATCCTGAAACAAAATTTAATGATAAAGAACAATGCATCATAGACAATGAAATTGATAAGCTTATGTGCAAGGGAGTAATTGAAGTTACACAGCACAGTCTAGGGGAATTCATTTCCCCAATTTTCATCCGTGCCAAGAAAGATGGCAGTCATAGACTGATATTAAACCTCAAAGAGTTGAACACCAATGTTGAATATCACCATTTTATAATGGAAACCCTACAGTCGGCTGTTGCTCTAATGAGACCAGGGTGCCATATGCATCGATTGACCTCCGAGATGCTTATTATTCTGTGCCTATTGACGTAAACTACAAAAAATACCTAAAATGTTACTGGAAAGGCACACTTTACCAGTTTACATGCTTGCCTAATGGACTAGCTTCTGGCCCACGGGTGTTTACCAAGATTGTAAAACCAATATATGCTATGCTGAGACAGGTGGGCCATCTTAATGCAAGCTGCATTGATGACTCTTATCTCCAAGGTGACACTAGGCAAGAATGTAAAGATAATGTTTTGCAAACTGACGAATTGTTGAATCTGGCAGGGTTTATTATCCATCCAGATACTATCTGTCTATGAACCTGTACAAAAGCTTACCTCTTTGGGTTTTGTCATGGACTCCATTAAAATGCGAGTTACATTGACACCAGAGAAAACAGTTAATTTAAAAATTTGTGTTTACATACCTTAAAGCACCCAAAGCTTACAATCAGAGAGCTAGCTCACTTAATAGGCATTTTGGTGTCTAGTTTTCCTGGAGTGCAATATGGTCCATTACATTATAGGTCATTAGAAATGTTAAAATCTGAAGCGCTTAAATCAAGCAAAGGAAACTTTGAGCCACTGGTCTCCACTAATAATGAATGCGTAGAAGACCTACAGTGGTGGGTTGATAATATTGAAAATGCTTTTAAGCCGGTTGAGAGACCCGAGGCTGATATGGGGGGCGATGGACTAGCCTCGAATCCCAAGAACACATTAATAGTTTAGAACTTAAAGCTTTGTTCATGGGTTTAAAATCATTCTATAGAAATTTGCAACACAAGCATGTACAAACCTTTATGGATAATACAACAGCTGTTGCTTATGTAAATTCCATGGGGGGGGGGGGACAAAGTCCACCCAGGTCAACAAGCTTGCAAAGAAAGTTTGGAATTGGTGCATTGAGCATGGGGTGCACCTTACCGCAACACATATCCCAGGGTCTACAAATGTAGACGCCGACAAAGAATCAAGGCATTTCAATGACAACACTGAGTGGATGCTATAATACTTGTATTCTCTTTTACATAGTCTATTTCTACTACCAACTGCACGCTACAAAATACTAATCCTAATGATTCCATGTGCTCTCCCGTCACATGACTATATCTGTCACTCAATTCTATGACATCACTACACCATTCCCTTTGTTTTAACAAAACATAAATGTTTTAACTGTTCAAATATAAATTGTGTCCATATCACAAATTAATACTAATTTATCTATAGTTATTACTTTAATACAAGTCACGTAACAATGTTAGACGGTAATGTTTGTCCGTATCTTTCGGGTTGCTTTCTTACTCTCGTGGACGGTCGTGGGTGCACATTATCACGTTTGTTGTTATTACGGTCGTTCATGTTAAACTGTTCTGTTTCCCCTGGAGTACGCTGATTGTTATTCTCTATACTGAAATCGTCGGTTTCCCCTGACGTATCTTCATTATCTTTGTTGGGTTTGGGTATCTTTTTAAAATGTGAAACGTTTCGTTCTATTTCATGTCCATCTTTATTTCAAGCTCTAACTACTATTTTGTTCCGATAAATAACAACATAAGGGGTTTGATAGAAATTTGGCGTTAGTTTATTTTCCTTAGGTTGTTTCACTAACACATAGTCTCCCTCTTGATTCCACTTTCTTTTGCATTCCTCCTTTCGTTTGCATATCTTTTGTTATACTATTGTCGCTTGTTTTCATTTTCACGAGCTTCCTTATGTCGGTTCACAATGTTCTTCCTGTGAAGAATGGGTAACTTGCCTTGTACCGTCGGATTGAAGAGTAGTTCAGCCGGAGAAACACTGGTAGTACTTTGTGGTGTCGTCCTATACTGTAGCAAGAATCTACTGAGCTCTTGCTTCCATGGGCGAATTTCGATTTTGGCTGTTTTGAGTGCTTTTCCAAGGGGTTGCATAAATCTCTCAACTTGGGCGTTACCTTGAGGCCATAACGGAGTAGAAAACTCGGGTTTGATTCCCAGTGACTTTAAGTACTGCTTATACTCATCTCCATTAAACGGCGAGCCATTGTCTGACTTTAAGACTTCTGGGATGCCGTGCACAGCAAATATTTTATCAAGCTTCGGTATCACTACTGAAGCTTTTGTAGAACGGACGATTTCCACGTCTGGAAATCTTGAGTACCGGTCAATCACCACCAGTAGGTAGTCATTCGATGGCAGAGGGCCATAGAAGTCGACATGTAAAACTCTCCAGGGGTGTTTTGGCATATTTGTTGTTGCTATTGGCTCAGGTGCATTCGCTCGCCCAACTGCTTGACATGCAACACATCGTTCTATTGTGTTTTTCACCATGGTGTCCATCTGGGAAAACCATATCTTTTCTCTAACAAGACTTTTGGTCTTTTCAACTCCAAGGTGTGCTTCGTGAGCTATGTCTATCGCCCTTTGTTGTAAAGATTTTGGAATTACAATTCTGGTTCCTCTAAGAATCACTCCATGGGACGTGACAGTCAATTCATCCTTTATCGATTTAAAGGATTGTACTACAGGTGAGTCCCATCGTTTGAGTCGTATAGCTGCACGGAGACCTTTTAATGTACTGTCCGAATTTGTCGCTTTTATTATTTCATCCAGAGTCATTGCTCTGGGGACCGCATTATGCACAATGAAGTTAATATATTCCTCGGTCATTTTCTCTTGCTTTCGTGAATTGGGGTTGATGGATGTCTCGATAAATAGTCGGCTGGATTATTCGCGCCGGATCGAAGGATCCAGCGCTCGATTCTTGCTGAAGCTTTCGCCTTTCGACTTCCATAAATCACTTCTAACGGTTTGTGATCTGTAACTAGAGTGAAATGGCTAATGCTAAATGAATGAAAATGTTCAACAGACCAAACTATTGCTAAAGCTTCCTTTAATTTTCTGTTTGTAAATAACGTGTTTCTGTGTCTGTTACATGTAGGGATCTGCTTGCATATGCAACAATTTTAGGATTATTCGTACCTGGTTCCTGTTGTGATAGAATTGCTAAGATGCCCACAGGACTAGCATCTACAATGACTTGTGTCTCTTTGTCTTTAGCAAAGTATGACATACATTTTGCTGATGCTAAGGTTGCTTTCAATTTGTCAAAACATGCTTGGTGTTTTGGCAACCATGTAAATCGTGCATTCTTTTTCGTTAGTTCTCTAAGTGGGGCAGTTAAAGTCGCAAAGTCACGAATATATTTGCTACTGTATTTAGCCATGCCTAGTAAAAAACGCACTTCAGTAACACTAGAAGGCTGGGGAGCATTGAGTAAGTCGTTTACCTGTTTCGTGTCAGGTCGTGTGCCTTCTCTGGAAAATATCTGTCCGAAAAATTCCAACTTATCTTCGAGGAATGTACACTTTCCTCGGTTTAACTTTAGACCCGAATTAGATAAGCGGGCAAGGCATTTATCTAAATTTTGATCATGTTCAGCTCGTGTTTTCCGAACACGATTATATCGTCTGCGATATATTTTACTCCATTTAGTTCCTGTAGCTTTGTTTGAAGGAGATGTTGAAAGATCTCAGCGGACGTTTTAGTCCCATAGTTCAAACGCTTGTAACGATATAATCCTACATGAATACTGAACGTGGTAATAAATCTGCCTTCTTGATCTAGCACTAGTTGATGGTAAGCTTGAGATAGATCAAGTTTAGTGAAATATTGTGCCCCGTTGAGTGCAAAACTAACATTGTTCACGGTAGGAATGGGGTGTCGTACCCGGCGTATGGCTTCATTCGCTTGCCGCATATCTACGCATATTCTGACTCCTCCATCTTTCTTAGGAACTACGACTATGGGTGATACCCATGGTGTTGCCTCATTCTCAGGCACCCTTTCAATTACGTCTTCCTTCTCAAGTGCTTTTAAGGCGTCTTCTACCTTATTACGAATGTGATAAGAAATTCGACGTTGAGGTTGGGTTTTGGTATTTGGTCTTTATCTATGTCTAATTTTATTGTCTCACCTTTTAATTTGCCCAGTCCGTGAAATACTTTAGTATGTTTTCCAAGCATTTCGTCCAGGTTGTCATCTTTCGTTGTGACATGATTTAGATGTAAAGTTATAAGTCCAAGGTCTTGAGCTGTAGCCGGAGGCAAAAGATTTCCACTATTTTGGCCTTTTACTACATAGAACATGGCCACAGATAACCGCTTGCGTGTTTCCACAACCGCCTCGAATTTTCCAAGGAATTTTACAGGTTGTGTTGTATTATACGGAAATGCTTTAGTATTTGTCTGCTTTAACTTAACACCGTCCATTTTCGAAAATGTTTGTTCATCGATAACATTAATAGGCCCTTTCAAGGTTTATTCCGCCATATTGCCGCGGGTGCAAAACATTGGGGCGAGCGCGCGGCCAAGCCATGGCTGCCATATATTTTACTAATGAGTGAGCGATAATTTTGTGTGGAAGTTTTGTTGATTTTCTCATGCTATGTTAAAAGATAGTCCAAACTTTTGTATTCTGACTGATCTGTGTGTATTTTCAAAGTACTGGTAAAGATTTCAATGGAATCTAATTGGGGGAAATCCGTAAATATGCTGATTTCTTCGACACCTTTCGGCGAGCTGTTTATAGTGGATTTACGACAACGAAACGCCGAGCTTTTACGTCTGTGTTTGTTTAAACAAAACAACATTACAAAAGAATCGTGTTTAAAAACAATACAACAAAGCTGTCGGGAAAGAAGAAAGACGTCCAGGTGCGAGAGTGTAACCTGATACCAATGTCAATCTCACCTTTATATCACATGGATATATTAGAGATAAACTTATAAAAGTAAGCGAATCCAAAGGGTATATATTGAGAGATATTGAGAGTTTGAGTTGTTTATATGTTATGTTCTCATAGATTATATTGCAAATAGTCATTTTATGTTTATGGCTACAAAGGAGAGGCTTGAATACGAGGATTTCGTTGGGTTCAGTCCGGTTGACAGAGTGGAAAAAGGTTGAACTTGTTGCTCCAAAGAAATTTACACAGGAACAAGTTTTTGATAGTATTAATTAAGAAAGATTACCAACAAAGGCCACAAACTAATGATATTATTAAGAGCGATTCTAACACTCTGTGCGATGAATATTGGAAAGATGACATTCAAACATGGCCACATCTTGACGATGGAATGCTACATTCGACGAGTAAATGCAGTGAATGTTGAATATATTTGCAAATACAAAGATGAGAGGGCCTACTCATATTGGATGAGTGAATTTGTTGATATAATTTATGCTGCCAAATGCCCCATTGACAAAACCATGACATTTTTTGTAAAGCTCAGTATGTCCATCACAAAGGATTTGTGATGACTCACACTCTTGAACAGCTGGAACAGTTGAGGCATGTAATCATGTACTTGCAGTCCTCTATAGATAAGATCAACTATGCTTACAACAAGCAATATATTTCTCCTGCATGTGTGCCTGTACCAGTGTTCCCCAAGGATGGAACAAAGGAACATGAAAAGAAGTAAATCTAAGCAAGGTTAAAAATTGAATATTTAGACCGAACTCCTGGCTGCGATTAAACATTGAGGAAAGAATTTGACCCCAGAAAACCTGACGACAGAGATATTACCAATGAAAGAGTTTCTTTATCATTTATTTATTTAGTTTTAATTTTTCTCCCCTATGTACAGTTCCATAGACAATATTTACATATTTTTCCTTATATTAATTTGGGCTAAAAACCTACTAGATACCTTGTCAGGCTTTTTGCTTTAGGCCCCTAGTAAAGGTTTATTGTTAACTGTTAGATTTATAATATATTATTCTATTTTACAGTCAAATCAGAGAGAGAATTTTCAGAGTAATAGAGGAACAATAATGTGCAAATAGAATAATATGCAAATAGATGTTTTCATAATAAAATGCTGCTTAATTTGTTTTTTGAAGATATATTGTATGTCTTTATTTTTTATTCTAGTGAGTTCCATACATCAACTCCATTATTTAGAGAGAATATGTTTTACATAATTTGTTCTTTTATACCATTTGTGAAGTTTTGATCAGTTTCTTCTGCTACTTTGATGAATTTGATTGATAGTCACAAAAATTTATCAAAACTTCAGGCAGGTTTTTAAGATTATTGAACAGCATTGTAGATACTGTTCCTTCTGCTTGTGTTTTGCTCTCATGCAGTTGGCTATGGGAATGGTTCTGACAATGAGAACAACTGACACTCTCAATATCTCTCAATATTATATACACTTTGGATTCGCTTACTTTTAGAAATTTATCTCTTATATCTAGTTACTAATAGTATGTCATATAATTAAAAAGGTGAGATTGACATTGGTGTCAGGTTACACTCTCGCACCTGGACGTCTTTCTTCTTTCCCGACAGCTTTGTTGTATTGTTTTTAAACATGATTCTTCTGTCATGTTGTTTTGTTTAAACAAACACATACATAAAAGCCCTGTTTTCGGCGTTTCGTTGTCGTGAATCCACTGTAAACAGCTCGCCGAAAGGTGTCGAAGAAATCAGCATATTTACGGATTTCCCCAATCAAATTCCATTGAAATCTTTACCAGTACTTTGAAAATACACACAGATCAGTCAGAATACAAAAGTTTGGACTATCTTTTAACATAGCATGAGAAAATCAACAAAAATTCCACACAAAATTATCGCTCACTCATTAGTAAAATATATGGCAGCCATGGCTTGGCCGCGCGCTCGCCCCAATGTTTTGCACCCCCGGCAATATGGCGGAATAAACCTTGAAAGGGCCTATTGTTCCGTATCAAGTGTTATCATAAAAGACGCTCCGCCCACTTTGACCTTGACTTTAGCGGTATTTGCGTGATCTTTGTTTACTGTATATAAATATCCTCATAAGAATTGTCCGTTTCGTCGTGGTTTAATTTAAAGGATTTAGAGCTTTTCCCCCGACCTTTGTGTTGTTTTCTAGTGTTCTGTTTCGGTGCTTTCGGCTTACTTTTGCATACCCTAGCAAAACGATTTACTTTGCCACATATATGGCATGTCTGACCCTTCGCAGGGCATTGTCCTACGTGCGGATATTCACGCCCGCAATAGCGACATGTTTTCGCTTCGGTTTTCGCTGATTTCCCGTCGAGTTTGTTTGTATATACCTCGGTTGGCTCTTTTGACTCAATGTCCTTAATCTAATAGGAACTTTGCTCATCTCTTCGCCCTTCTAATAACATGCCTTTCAAGTCGAATTTCGGGTCTCTCAACGCGTGTTTACGAGTCTTTGAGGATGTGCCGCCAATGATAATTTGTTGTTCGATTTCGAACTCTACGTCGTTGAATTCGCAAGTTGCAGCCATTGTCCGCAATCGCGTGTGATATTCATCAAGGGTCTCATCAGTATTTTGTCTCCACTTACTCATCACACAATCAATCAGGAAAATTCCTGTTTATTTGAGATTCTGCCAGCTCCCTGCAGTGGGAAACACACTTATTTGCAACTATTTCTCTCAGTCATTAAACAGCCCTATTTCATGTATACTATATCTAGTATAACACTTCAGTACATGCCACAGATGTACTTGATTACATTTCTAAAAATTAGTCATTACATGCCACAGATGTACTTCATTACATTTCAAAAAGAATAGTCATTACATGCCATAGATGTACTTGATCCCATTTCTAAAGAACAGTCATTCTACATATTTCCCTTAAAACGTTTCTATCAGAGCCAATAGGCCTCTTTAAAAGACTTTTACTTCAATAATATTTAAAAACCTTTCAGTAATGTTCGTATTATGTCTGCTCTCCATTTCATTAATGTACTGATTGTTCTGAGCGTCAAATTCAACAACACAATTTAATGTGAAACCATCCACTGTTGCCTGGGCTATCCATACCAAAGATGGAACACATCTGTAATATCATAGATTACAACACCAAGTTGCTGAGCCGGACACGAAAACCAGACAATAACCCCGTGGGAAAAAGGCTGGAACGTGTTCTCCATCCCATGCTGCAGCAACATTTCTGGAGGTTAAAAGCAAATTGTCTCTTTCTTCATTGTCTTGTAAACGATTGTCTCCCGTTATTTCACTGCAATGTTGCGTTTCATAACAGAGCAATACCAAACCTGCAAAAAAACCAAAAAAACACGAAGCCAACAGCGAGTGGTAAGGAAACTGAAAATACTCTACTCCTGTCCCAGGTCACACTGGGTGATGCTCACGTGCCGCCAAAATTTTAATTTCTGTCTATTCATTAGCATTCATTATCCAGAAATTGAATAATTTTGTCTCCACTTACTCATCACACAATCAATCAGGAAAATTCCTGTTCATTTGAGATTCTGCAGTGGAGTTAGAGAAAAGTGGTAAACACATGCAGTGGAGTTAGAGAACAGAGTTCGCGCAAGACTGGTTGATACGTTACTTTTATTTTTGTATCAATTCAGAAAACTTCCAACTTGTTAATAGTGCTATCGTCAATGTACATGTTCTTAATAACATTCCATAGCACACTCAGGCAGTCAAGGCCATATGGCGCAATCCTCACAAACACCTTGTATTGTCGTACAAAAACCGCGTTTAGTTGTACGCGCGACACACGAGAACGAAATTCTTAGTGCTACCATCTTGAATCTGAGAGGAGATTTAGTAAATATACAATTTTTCGCTTTGCCTTTAATTATTAAATTTCGTTCATTACTCAGCACTTTCCATTCGTGAATCCAATTATTCCAATGTACACCATCTTCACAAAGCATGGTCGAAAACACTGCCGATTTCCACATAGGAAGCAATAAAGTTCCGTCTGCTAAACATGCACGTAAATGTCGAATTACTCGTGGGATCAGGACAGTCGGAGGAAAAAGCCAATTGTTATTAAAACCCCAATTCTGCATGTGTAAAAGCATCCACTGCTTCTGTGCCTATCTGGTAAAATCGGGAATTAAATGTTGGAAGTTTGGCGTTATAAGTACAAGCAAACCTGTCCACTGTATAAGGGCCCCATAACTTATCGAATTCTGTAAAGACAAAGTCGTTAATTGTATAGTCGTCATGATCTAGAATGTGACTTATAGAATCCGCTTGGATATTAAATTCTCTAGGGACCCATTTGAGCTCAAATTAATATGCGATGCTAAACATACTTCAAACAAATGTAACGCCATGGTATGCAATTCTGAATTTCTACTTATTTCTACTCCCTTTAAGCCTGCAGCACACGAGAGCTATCTGCTGAGCAAAAAGTTACTCGTGCCTGTTAGCTCAGCCGATAGCTCACCGATCAAACATGTTTGATACGTGAGAAAAGGTTGCATGAGGCAAAAAACTCAGTAAAATGTACGCGCACACGGTGAGCTATCGGCTGAGCTAACAGGCACGAGTAACTTTTTGCTCAGCAGATAGCTCTCGTGTGCTGCAGGCTTTAGACCCCGTTTACACGGTACCGGACGAATTTGTGACCGGACGAAAATTCGTCCGTTTCGGCCGTGTAAACACACGAGAACCACGGAACCGGACGAATTTGAGACCCCCTAACAGGACGAATTCGCGTGTAAACAGGCGAAAAAGGAAGAATTTTCGTCCGGTCCCAAATTCGTCCGGTACCGTGTAAACGGGGTCTTAGATACTATGGACACAACGTTCTGATTATCAGTAACCCAAGCGATTGTTTGATTGTGAATATTAAGTGTAAACGCATCTAAGGCTAAAAGAACTGTTCTTAACTCCCGCCAGGTTGAACTCTTACTTTGCTCTTCTAGCTTCTGTCCAGTTGCTGTGAAATACTTTCTCGTCTATGTTTAGAATTGCTCCGCATGCACGACCAGAGGCGTCTGAATAGACAACCTTCGACGGAATTTCGTTATCTTGCCAAATTTGTTTACTACTTAAATGCGAAACATTATGAAACCAGAATGCAAGTTCCGCTGTGGTCATGCGATCCATCAAAACATTGTGCTGCCAGGAAAAAGTGCTATTTAATAGCCTGTACGCTGACCGAGTCATAAGCCTGACCACATTGGCTATGGACGCGTAGTTTTCTGGAAGATAGAAGACAACAGGTCAAACTAGCAGGAACCCTATCATCGGTCAAACCTTGTCCTGCAGGAGTCCAACAAGGTTCTGTGATGTCCCCCGCTCTTTTTAATATTCACATTAACGATATTGAGAACTCAATCCCAGATGGATTACCATAAACATATGCAAATACGCGGATGATTGTACACAGGACGAAGTGGTGTCACAAGGTTCATCCAGCCATATGCAGGAGGCCCTTGAAGAAGTACAAGAATGGTCTAATAGGAACAAAATGACGATAAATTCGAAGAAAACAAAAGATATGTGGATATGTTTTAACACAGCAATACCGGCACCAGAACCATTGGTTATTGGAAACGAGGTAGTGGAAAGAGTAAATTCTCATAAACTGTTGGGTGTCTGGCATCAAAACAATTTGAAATGGAACTGTCATGTTAAGAACATTGTAAGGAAAGCAAATAAACGAATGTTTAGTCTGAGAGAATGCCGTAGGGCGAATCTTCCTCCTGAGGTCGGTATTACATGTTATGAATCTAAGATTAGACCTGTTTTAGAATATGCAGCTCCGATATGGGGTGGTTTACCACAATATCTCATTGATGAAATAGAGAGCATTCAAAACAGATGCATCAAAATCCTCGGCACATCTCGGTGCAACTTTGAAACGCTAGAACAAAGAAGGGCACACCTAACTATTAAGGAATACCAAAGAATTCTAAGTGATCCGACCAACCCATGTAATAAACTTATCCCCCAACCTTATACCCATGAACACGATCTAAGAACAACAAATAATCTACCATATGTTGTATCGTATACTAAAAGACACCGGCAATCCTTTATACCTAGAGCTATATCCCTTTTAAAACAGTCCTAAATTAATTTTATAGAATATATAACTAGTATAAACATTTTTAGCAACATTGATGTAAATAATAGTAAAATTTCTTCCTATCAATTTTAACCTTAGCACTTCTTGTAAATCCATTGTACTTTTTTAACCAAAGATGGATATTAAATGTTATTATTATATCGATAATGGGGGGGGGGGGCAGATATTCATATATTCGTGTTCTGCCCAATTAATTTCTTTTGAAATCAATTGTTTTTACAGTCTGTGAACACGAATATATGAATATCTGCCCCCGCTATTATCGATTCTCCGGCGCCTCTGCATGTAATGTGCCACTACACCTCTCCCCATCCAAACTTCTCGTTCATTTCAGTTAGGCCTAAATTTACTACGTTTTTACAAGGTCTTGGCTGTACTCAAGAATGTTCAGGACATGGAAAATGTAAAAAGGAATCTTGTTTATGTGATGAACTTAGTGGATGGCGAGGATCTTTGTGTGAAGTACCAGGATGCCCAGGGATAAAAGAGGATTGTAGTGGACATGGCAGCTGCAATAGTGCTGACAAGAAATGTATATGTGATCCAGGTTAGTGGTCTATTGGTCTTGGTTTTAAAACGCTCTTAGTAATCAAGATAGCAACCTAATCTCTAAGGAGAGCATACGCAATATCTGAATATAAAGTATGTTCCATTTACCATCAAGATATATACTTTATTGATATTTATGTTCTAGCAGTATTTCTTTTATTTCTTCAGGTTGGACAGGCATTGGATGTCATGTGCCTGACTGTCCTGGAACTCCTAACTGTTTTGGTCGTGGATTCTGCAACAGTACTGATCGTGAAACTCCGGGATGCACTGACTGTTCCATGGGATGGATGGGTCCTGCATGTAATGACCCTTGCTTACATGGGCGACCTGTGGACGACATCTGTGATTGCGACACATGTTACACAGGTAATGGATGCCAGCTGGAATGTTCTGGTCGGGGTTCTTGCGTAAAAGGAGAATGTGTATGCCATTCAAATAACGAAGTAGGATGGCAAGGGATCAACTGTGAACTTGATGGATGTCCAGGAGTAGATGGGAACTGTAATGGTAATGGTCTGTGTAATACTAATACCCGACAATGCGAGTGTGATCCGTTGTGGACTGGACCCGACTGTGACATAGCTAATTGTGCAGGAGACCCACCTTGTTCAGGTCATGGTAGCTGTGATGCGGCCTCATTCCCACGCCGGTGTAACTGTGATAGAGACTGGGCAGGGGAGGCTTGTGATGTTCCTTGTGTCCACGGAATAAATTATGGCAATGCTTCGGGATGTATCTGTGACGCGTGTTACCATGGTATCGGATGCCAAATGTTATGTTCTGGACATGGCCGTTGTGAGCATGGGCAGTGTGTATGTAATGCAAGCCTTGGATATAAAGGGGTAGTGTGTGATGTACCGGGATGTCCTGGATGGCCGGAGGATTGCAGTGGCCATGGTACATGTAACCTTGCAACAAAGCAATGTTCATGTGACCCAGGATGGCTTGGACCATCATGCAGCTGGACTGACTGTCCTGGAACTCCAGACTGTAACGACAATGGAATCTGTGTTCCCCCACGAGGTTAGAAATCCCTTTTTCAAAATTAGAATAACCTTCGAAAAGGTTGTATAGAAATTTAGTCAAGTTAATAGAGCAAGTGTGTTAGCCAATAGGAATGTGCTCTTTTAAGAAGATGGAATTTTCTGAAAGTTACAAAGCTTAAAGGGTGATGAGATCCAGCAACCAAAGTGTTCCTGAACGGTGGTTAACAGTTCGAAAGAACTAAATATTATTGGTATTTGACATTTCTAAATAAACACTTGTTGCACATAATAAGGACAACACAATAGTCCCATCAGGTTGACCAGAAATTCATCTGCTTCGCAGGATAAGAACAGCTGATTTTTCACAAAAGAAATTCCGTGTTAGGGACGTACCTAATTTTGTTTCGGCCTATCTAAAAGTTCTTTCTTGCGGTCATTACCCATTTATTTCAATTGTAACTTTTATAAATGTCATATTTTTATGAAGATTAAATATTAAAGTGGTGTTATTATTGTTTCAGAAAATAGTGTAAATGCTCAAGGTACATGTAACTGTTCCGAAGGCTGGATGGGCAATGCGTGTCAACATCGTTGTATCTATGGCAACCCCTCTGACGATTATATCTGTGAATGTGAACCTTGTTACAATGGTGTGGATTGTTCAACACTTTGCTCAAACAAGAGCAGTCTCTGTGTCAAGGGCGAGTGTGATTGTGGATTTGAGGGATGGCGAGGAGAATTTTGTGAGAGAAGAGGATGTCCAGGTGTAGATAAGGATTGTTCGGGACATGGCACATGTTTCGCGGACTCACAGACGTGTACATGTGATTCTGGCTGGACTGGTGAGTGGTATATTGTACTTAGTGTTAGTTATCAATTTTATCACACCATACATATGAAAAAAAACATAAAAATATTATATTTTACAGTTGCTTTTTTTCAAAAAAATTGTTTGGGCAGACTGGCCGGAAAACATCCAAGGAAGTTGCTAATTAGATTTTATTTCCACAACAAAGTTTCCAAAGTTTCTACTTTTCTGGTTAAACTACAACACATTCGACGAAACATTAGATATCAAGTGCTCTCGCAACAACGTTCCCAGTTTTTGCAGGGCTTAATGTGTGATAACATCCACATGTTTCGCGCAAGATTTACATCTCTCCCAGCCCCTTCCCTAACCCTATTGATATATCCTAATTTGTGGACCTTTTGTTATATCTCCAAATCAGGTCTCGGATGTCAAAACTCAAATTGTCCTGGGGACCCAGATTGTAATGGAAAAGGCCGATGCGTGATTGATAATACCGTTGGTCCAATATGCGTCGACTGTGAAAAA